GAAACCATGATACATTATTTCAGGATTCTTTGATAAACAAAGTTCTTTCTTCAAAAGAATTACTTGAAAATATATATATTTTTTAAACAGTGTATAAGTCTTACATTTTTATAGAAATTCATTGCATCCTTGCAGAATAAAAATATAAATTTCTTTCAAAAAGAAAAAAAAATCTTACTGACCCTAGACTTTTGAATGGTAATGTACTGCAAGTATGTGTGAAAAAAATAAATCAAGGTGGCGAGGGAGTAGCATGAATCTCTTCAGATAGGCAGATCAATAGTCTGCAGGCCACAGTAACACTGGTGTGGCTTGTTACCTGCACAAGCCTGGAAATAGGTGCATAGTATTCTTGCTCTTGAGACTTAGAGTGTATCTGAGGAAGCCTGTGGCTCTGAACCGCACTCACCGGTGGAGAGGGCAGGCTTTCATTCACAGTGGTTCTGTGCGAAACAAACCCAAGAACACATACTTACTCTAATTAGCATTCTGCATGTTTATCCATGCCTGATACCCCTGCAGGAGCTCAGGGCTACTTCAGTGATTTTTCCAAGTGATGACAAGGTTAAAAGTGTTACAATTAATAAGGTGCAATCCAGCTTGAGGGACCAATTTAACAAGCGCTTTAAAAGAAGTCTGCATTTCAAAAGAAGGCCTTGACCTGTTATAACGGGACCCCAGTAGACCCTGCATTGAATAATCTGCAGCCACATATTCTGAAAGAATTGCATCATGCATAAAGGAGTTGCTGCAACAGAACCTCTTCATGTAAAACTTGTGAGGATATAAAATGGTGCACGCAGAGATATAGTTCACCCAAAAAAACATTCTCAGAGGAGCACATAAGAAGAAATTACGCTTCACACGTTACAATGAATTGGGACTGGAGCTTTCAAGCGTCAAAAAGAATGCTACAAAAGTATCTTAAAAGTATCATAAAAGCGGCCCATATGTTTTGTGTATTACATTCTAGAGCCATATGATAAACAGTTCAAAATCGTTAATTATACACAATCTCCCCTCCAGGGACCTGTTAACCACCGATCAGTCAGTCAGTGAGCTGAACTTAAGAAGTGAATCGGTATGATTTATCAACAAATCATTCAGACCAGTTTGTTGAACTATGAACTGATTCAATTGAAAATATCTGACTCAAAAGAACAATTTGTTCACAATTTGTTAAACTGAACTGGATAATAATTGTCTTCTATAGAGCTGATGTATAGCTGAATAAAATTCATTTAGTAAATAATGAAATCTGCAACATTAATAGTTATTGAACTGTTATACCGCTGTGCCCCAGTAAAATATTACTGATCAGTCCTTGTGTGTCAGTGGGATTGACATACAGTTTGTCTGAGAATCATTTGAATGACAATCATTTTCTTTGAAAATATTTTAGCAATCATCATATGTGTTTTCTATCCGTCGTTTAGAATCAGAAATAGTGATGTCTAATTCACGAATAAATCACTATTTTGATCTAATTGGTCAAATGTGTTTGCATATCTGAAATGGTTTTTGATTAATTCAGACAGTTCACCATGCACTAAATAATTTGCAGCGGTTTCTCACATCGGAATAGTAATGGGATATTTTATAAGACAGAAAACAAAACGAGTGCTGACTGAGATGGATATTTACCTACAATCCACTGCACCTGCAAATGTCTACCATTTGTCAACAACAAAGCAGCTCTTTACTACACGCACAGCTTGTGAACGACTCTGCACTGCAGGTAAAGAGGATTTATATCCATTAATATCCCAAACAGTATTAAAAAAGAAGATAAAAATAAAGGCAACCTTTGTGAGGGTGTGATAAAAGGCTAGAAAACCCCTGTTCAGAACTAATGAACTT